GAAGGTGGCAAAGTCAGCATCCAGCATGGATGCCAGGGCAAAGCTCGAGCGGAGTTGCGCCACGACAGAACCCAAGCCAGCACTGTTGGTTGCAATGCTCCGGATAACGAGTTGCTTTGGTACCATGAGGGCGACATCGTCTGCCTAATCATTCGCGGCATTGGCGTTGATCTGTAACCTGGAGGCAGTGCTGTGTGGTCACTTACCGAGTTTTGATACTGCAGTAATCCCTGCTGAGGGCGAGAGTGCACCCCAGCACCATTGGGCGACTGCGCATCGGTGTCTAGATCGAGGCTCAGCAAACAGGACCGCCCGACGTGGGGATGCGATAAGCTGGGGGAATATCGAACGGGACCGCCGGCTCACCTGCAACGCCGCACAGACTCGTGAAGGCGTCCAACCGCCAGGTCAAAATCGTTACTCCGAGAAAGAGCCCCGCGAGGACGGTCGATAGCATGCTTCTGTACAATTTCGCGAGCCTAGATGAGGAATGAGCCCCAGAGTCAGCGTACATCCTAGATGGGGCGTGAGGCCAGGCGCAACCCGTCATGTTGTCAAGGAGCCCATCCCCCGCCTTGTACCCACCCCATCTTTGCATTGACCTCGATCGGCGATCGCTAGAAAAGGCGACAACAGACACTAACAACGGACGAGAAATGAGAAGCAGAGCCGCAGAGCCGCAACACATCAGCGTGGTAATTGCTTGCTCAAGATGGGCGGGTGACGCTGGGACATGCATGCATCTCTCCGAATGCGGTGTCACATAGAGAGGTTGCCATGGCGCTGGAAGCGGATGGCGAAGCTTTGGTCATTGCGTACGCGACGCCATCGATCAGATGCGTGTTTCGCCGATGAAGTTGAGTAGTACGTCGACTCGACTTTCGACGCAACCTTTTCTCGGGCGTGCGTCATGTATCGGCGGCATCGCTCGTTGACCAGAAGTCAGTACAAGCTCGTGCCCAACTGGTGGACTTGGTGTGTCCCCATGTCGACGGGCTGAGTAGCAAGTGCTTGATCACGCATGCACATACTCAGCGACGAACCTACGCTTAAATCCTGGGGCTCAGTGGCGATCAGAACTGCCAACCACCCGAATCCTTGCCTGCCAAGGTTAGACGTAGGTCACTTGATCTTCCGGCCGTTTTGGAGCATCTAGATTGGGCGTACAGATGCTTTGGCAAAGGCGTACTGATCCTTCAGCGCGATCACATCGGATGGGTCACGAAGGGCTTATGCATACTTTGTAGATACGGAGATGCAGTATAACTGATGGAGGGTGTTCGTGTGGCAGTGCCGCTTGTGACGACACTGTATTTGGTGATCGTGATGGCATGTGGGGGCGTGTCCATATCGACATACAATACATACAGCATAACAAATGGGCTCTCTGTGTGCGCTCAACGGCCACACAGTAAAAACACACACACACACACACACACACACATGCAAGAACGTCCGAGCGACGGTGCGTCAAGAGGCGGTGGTTCGGCCTGGCGGGCGGTGATGGAGGTGGCGGTGGGTGGGGTTCCTTTGGCTCCATCAAACAACATCGAATAAACCACTACTTATTGTCCGCATACATACATCTATTCTTCTTCCCATCCCCGTCTTCTTGCTCTCTCAACCTCGCCACCTCGTCACATCGCCACCACAACCTGGCAGCTCACCTCGCCCACCTCGCCCACCTCCATCGCCATAGACGAAAACACCCCAACCCACTCCCTCGTCACCCCCTCTTCTACTTTCTCCGCACCGCCTCCCTCGACTCCCTCCGTCGTCAAGCCTGGGCCATGCAGGGATACTACTCCGCGCCAAACATGGGAATGGGGATGGGTGGCGGCATGGACCCGAGGATGATGGGTATGGGGGCCATGCAAGGCATGCAGGGGATGCAGGGGATGCAGCCCGGGATGATGATGCAGCCTGGGATCATGCAGCCCGGGATGCAGTCGGGAATGATGATGCAGCCGGGGATGCAGAATGGTATGATGAATCAGATGAACCCGATGGGCGGGATGGGTATGGGCTACGGACAGGCCTACAGGCAGCTCGTGAGTGTGGTGTGGGGTACCGAGAGTGTGGTAATCCGGTCAAGACGCGATGTTAAGCTGATCGGTGCGTCCTGTAGGGGTACGAATACAACCTCCCCACGCTGGCGTACAAGCCAGAACCCACTTGGGGGGCATGGGACATCGTGAGTGATGCCAGCGCTAACCGTGTGGTCACCGCCAGAGCTGATGCCCCGTCCAGGCGAACGCGCAGTATTCGGGCGGTCGACTGGAGCGTTCCTTCTTCGACAACATTGTGGGTGACGAGATCAGGTGTATCGCCATCTACCCCACCATCCCTTGATCCATCTCCCTGCGCTGCGCATGAGGACCCTACAGGACGTCGTCTCAGCTTCAACTTCGAAGCACGACGATGAAAACGATCACAATGACCTTACAGACTTCGGCGCTGACGGTCTCTCGCAGATCTCCACCTTGACCAACTTCTTCGCCACCCGCCACCTCTCCGAGGGCGCAGCGAGGGACGCCCATCGCCGAGTCTACTCGTCGGGCGAAGGGGAGGATGCAGGGAACAAAACCCTGGGGGGTGCTGCGGCGTACCAGGCTTACCTGTGAGTCCCACATTCCGGCGCATCGACGTTAAGTCCGGATCCGATGCAGGAGTGGCTGACGAAGACGCTCACGCTCTCGCCGACAGCCTCTGGGACAGGGACCATTACACAGCATTCCACTCTTATCCGTCGCAGGAGAACCGAGAGAGATTGGTGGGCCTAGCCGTGGCGGAGTGTAAGTCAGCAACAGCACCCCCCGGCCGCTCCGCTGAGAAACGAACGTAGTATTCTCACTGTGGGACCGAGTCCAGCCTCGCAGCTCCCGCGCGAACGTCGAGGAGGCCTCGCAGTACGCGGCTGCTACCGCAAAGTACCTGTTTGACCGGGTGAGTGGCGTGGCCTGCCGTCGCTGTACTGGTACACAACACCCTACTGCGAGTTGTTGTGTGGACCACGTTGACTCCGTCGCAGCACTACGACCTGCCAGGTGGACACCACCACCATCCTCGAAGCCGGTTCTCCGGCTACGGTGCGGACGACGAAAGTGACACCGAGTCCGAGTCGCGCCGCATGCGTCGTAGGAGCATGTACGGTCGTGAGTCGGTGTTCCGACTTCCAGTGCCCCAATCTGCCTGTACAATAGTTCAGTGTCCATGAGTGGTGGCTGATCCATCGCAGAGATGCCTCCCTACGCCATGCAGCAGGGCATGGGACCGATGGGCGGCGGCGGAATGGCAATGATGCCGGGGCAGATGATGCCGAACGGAGGGATGGGGATGCCCGGTGGATACGGCGGTATGCCGATGCAAGGCCCCATGCAAGGCATGGGAGTGCCGCCGGTCGCTATGGCCATGGGCGGAGGTATGGGCGGGATGGGGGTAAGGAGCGGGGTGCAGACTGCCCACGGGATGCTCCCAGAGGCGCAAGCCGCACCGGTACGTGGCGGAACGTTTCTCCCCTACACGTACATATTCAGGGACCCGCTGATCTGGCTGACTCGACACAGGGCATGCACCCCTACACGTATGGCGCCCAGTCCGGCGTCGCGTACGGGAACCAGCCCATCGATCCGATGGGAAACCCCACATTCCCCGGTGGTCCAGGCATGCAGGGGGGCAGGGGGTGGTATGCCTATGGTGACCGGAGGTACTACTAGGGGAGTTGAGGCGAATGTGTATGTGCGCTGCGAGACGTGATCGTGGTGCTTCTCGAAGATAGAATCAACGAACTGTGTCGAGGGATCGATCGATGCTTTTGTTCTTATACAGCTGCAAACTACTTCATACGATGCTCGATGCTTGTCGCCTGTGTGTTACGCATGAACGAGAAGAAGCCGATCCAAGAGTCCTTTGAAGGCGTGTCGGGGGTGTCATATAGAAAGCGTCGTGTCTCCGCAGATTGGATGAAAGCAAGCGAATCATCGTCTCACTATACTCCTTTGTTCTTCCCCCGAACTGCACGACCAGACTTCGGTCTGATTTCCCCCAAGTCAGATACCTAGCAGTTGCTTGTCCACTTCTCTCTCGGACGACTCGCGCCTCCCTCTGAACCTGGCCTCACCTTATAGCATGTTCGGCGTCCACCCGCTACTAGCCACCCACCCCGGCGCCTCATTCACCAAACACCACCCCTTCGACAACGGCAACGTGAACGGTCCGCACCTCGCGCTCGCGTCCGGCGGTAACTCTCTCGGATACTGGGCGCACGTACCGTGGGAAGTACCCGAGCCGCCGCAGTGGGGTCTGCCACCGGCTGTGGTGGCTGCGATGGAGGGCAGGGGGACGGGGGTGTATGGCGTCACGGGAAATGGGGGGATGCCATTTAACTATGGGTGGCCGAAGTATGGGCCAGTGAGTGACTTAGGTCTTGATCGATACTGCATAGCGACAGCCATTGCCTCATCTTGGACGTGGATGTCTCCCTGTCCCGCAAAGTGATGTGGCCGGTGAAGATGATGGCAGAGTGCTGACGGAGCGCATAGATGCCTCTCAGACCGGAACTCGGAGGGTTCGGTGAGTGGGAAACATGGTGCCAGAGTGGAGAAGCGGCAGCTGATTCGGTTCCAGTCGGCAAGCTGAACCCATACGGACGAAGTTTCCCTCACGGTTACTACAAGACTGTTTACTAAGGTGGAAAGCCCCGCAACAGGAGCTGGCAGCGAGAGGGGATGTCCGCGCGCGAAAGGCGTGTGGCGCGTTGCTGCGACAACGGGACAGAGTCCACCAAGTGACGGAGGTACAAGTCACCATACCACATACTTCACGATGCATAGGGGATGCCACGAAGTGCCTTACATGGCTCTAACATGACGCGGGACATGACTATATGACCGTAGCAATGGAACGGGTGACGGAACCAGGACTCTAGGGATGGTGGATCACGAATTCGCGCTCAGTTTGATAGTTGCGTCTTATAATGACAAACAAACGATCTCAGACATGACAGGATGTCCGAGTGGTCTAAGGAGATCGATTAGAACTTGGTTTCAAGCAAACCATCAGATCGATTCGCTTCGGCGGCGGGGGTTCGAATCCCTCTTCTGTCTGTTCTTTTTGCTCTCATCGCGATCTCGTCGCGATGTCTTGTCTTTTTGCTCCCGTCGCGACCACGGTGGCGGCGTAGTGCCACCACATCCAGCCAGCTGTGGCGCGTCTTGACCCGGTTTCTATTGGCCCCGTCGCCATTCTGACTGACGTCTTACGATCATCGAGAACATGGGGTTGACCGATGGCCGGATGAGCAGGAAGGGGGAGTGTTGCCGGCCACACTCTCGTGGAAGCTGGTCCGAACGGTCCTGATTTGACTGCTGGAACTGCCCCCCCTCCTCACCGCGCCGAGGGACCGTTCTTAGTTCTGTAAGACCAGTTCTGCTTCGGGTCGTCTCCGGTTGGGGACTCGCGCGCTAGGTTTGTCGGGCCCCTCTCTCCCACTCCACCTCCTTGTACCTGCACGTCTTCACCGGCCTTGTGCCGCAGAGGGGGTTTGGCCCATCCGTAATGGGTGGGTCCCGACAGTATCCGTGTTGGCTCTCATCACGTGAGCAACGAAGAAGTCAACAGTTTTGCATCGGCGACAAGTTCGAGAACCGCTGGATCCAAGCGCCAGTCCGCTGTCAGGAAGGGTACATCGGCCGGACAAGGTGACATAGCATTTATCGACAGGAGAGGGATTCGATCCTCCGCCGAACCCGGGCGGTCGCCGGGGTTTCAGGTGACCGGGTGCCTGTTTGTGGCGTAGCTCGTACGACGCGATGCGACGTCCAGGATGAAATCAATCAGCTTTCAGCGATATCTCAAAGTCTCGAAACTCTCTCAACGCCGCCTTGGCTTGGCTTGCTGGGAGTAGCAAGGGCTCACCAAAGTGGGTTCCGTCGGCGCAAGCTGCCATGTTCTCCGCTCTCACTTCCTCCCTCCTCCTTTTCCCGAGCATCACCGCCTTCCTCCTCATTCTCCGGCGCATCGTTCAGTCACTCCGACCATCAGAGTCGCATCATGGCGTGCCCCGGCCCCCGGTCATCCCGGACTGGGTGCCATTCCTGGGCAGCGCGTTGTCCATGACTAGAGGAGATTCCTTCTGGCGGGATACAGCGGCGCAGTACGGCCCCGTGTTTAGGGCGAGGGTCATGGGCGAGACGAGGATCTTCGTTACTACCACACCGGTACGTAGCGGAGGCGACGCGTAGATATGATCATCAGATGCCGAGAGGGTGGTAGAGACACTCATGGTTTTGGTGCAGGTCATCAATTATGTCTACAAGAACTCGAGCAACTTGTGAGCGGATCCGTGGTGACCGAGGGGGATGAGCGACTAACTCCCGGGTCAGCGATTTCTTCTTCTTCCGCAAATTCATCACAGCCACTGTATTCGGCATGGTGAGTCATACCGTCCATACCCAGCGGCGCGTACGCTGGGTTGTTGGCTAGCGGACGTATCTGGGCCGGTACTGATCTCTTTGCAGTCCATGGACAACTCGTTCCATCCCGCGGTAGACGCCCAGCTCTTCCCGGGCCATCATCGCGCGATGCAGCCTGGCGCTATCGCCGGGACGATCACGCGGTATGCCGACTTGCTCGAATTGATGCTACCTGCCCGGCTAGAGGCGTTGGGGCCAGACGAAGAGGTTGATCTCGCGGACTTTGCCTTTGATCTTATCGTGAGTTGACTGAGGGTCTCTGTTCCCCTTCGTCCCTCCCCCGGACCGATTTATCCGGCAGACTCACTCACACGTCACTCAGTACACTGCCTCCTCCAAAGCGTTCTTCTCCTCCTCGTTCCCTTCTGCGGCTACCAAAGCCCCGTTCGTCGCGTTTGACCAGGCCTTTCCGCTGCTCAACCTCGGCAAGTTACCCTCGTTCGCAAAGAAGCCAGCGGAGAAGGCTCGAGAGACGATGCTGAGCCTGGTTGAGGAGTGGTGGGACAGCGTCACGTCCGAGGAGAGGGAGACTCTTGCTCCGGCATTGATGGCCATGGTTGAGGTGGCTGAGGCCGAGGCGTGGCCAAAGCGGGATGTCGCGGCGCTTCTTCTCGGCGATCTGTGGGCTCTAGAGGCGAATGCCCCGAATGGTGAGGGACTTACCAGAGTCGACTCTCATGCTGTCCTTGTGGTGTCGCTTGCATTGGGCTGATCTTCTTCTCTTCTTTTCAGGTGCCATCTGGGCGATCGCCGAGATCCTACGACACCCGCACATCCTCCCCTCTCTCCGATCCGAGATCGACACAGCCATTTCCCGGCTCGACCCACCCCATCTCTCCACACTTCTCCACCTGCCCCAATCCCAACTCGTCCTCATTCTCGCGGAACTCAACGCGTGCTTCCAAGAGACCCTCCGGCTTTACACCGACTCCTTCTCCCTGCGTGTGGTCCAGAAGGACTGCGTGTTACCCCCCGGACTATGCGCAGGAGGGATCGGCGCCGAGAGAGGTCTCGCGCTCAAGCATGACGATCAGGTGGTCTGCGTCTCGCGACCCAACGCAGTGTCGCCGGAGAGCGAGTGGGGGGTGGATGCGCCAAAGTGGGATCATACCCGATTCCTTGACGGACGGGCTAAAGGGGTCATGAATCCTTTTGGTGGGGGCGTATCCATGTGCGAAGGTGAGTCGAGCGGCTCATGCGGCATGACCATCTGCTCAGGGAACTAGGCCGACATTTCGCCTCTGCCGAGATCCTCACCTTCATTGCTTCCTTCATCACCTTGGCCGATGTGACGGTCACCAATGACACTCTCACGCCGGACGCACAGCGCATAGGCCTGGGCATGCTGCAACCGAAAGGGACGTTCAAGGTGCGCATCGCGTCGCGTTCCATCTAGCCTCCGGAACGCGACGCCTACTACGCCGACGAGTCATCTATGGACAGTGTATCTGCCGCACATCATAGTGCACAATGCATCTTTGCTACGCGCGGGGACAATCCGACTCGCATGCCGATAGGCGTACAACAAAGTACAACATGGCACGCTGAATCGCGGACACTCATACAGCTCTCTTGATGATTGATCTGGTGGGAGTGGATGTGCGCCTCGATTTGATATTTGCGGATAGATCTGGTTGTCGTGCGCCCTCCGGCTTGCCGAGCTTCATGATGGATCGCAGAGGAGGCATAACGCCTACAAGCGAGAAGTGAGCCCAAACACTCCCGACGACAGCAGATCAGGACAAGTGATTGATTTTCAGGACAAGTGATTGATTTGCGACTCACCCTTGTCGTGGACAAAGTAATGAACAATGTCATCCGACCCGGACTTGATCGCCGCTTCGACGAGCTTGCTGGTGATCGTCACCCGATCTCCCAGCTTGATCCGTTTGCCTTTCCTCCCGTTCTGCCCTCGCGGCGATGGGGTCTCAGCACCAGCACCAGCACCAGGTCCAGGTCCTGATGCTGATCCTGATCCTGAACAGTGCCCGGGGCTTGTAGACCCAGCTGTATCCGCCGGAAGTCGTTCTACCAGCAGCTTGATCATCCCGAGATCCCGCATCTGCACGGCGATTTCCACTGGCAGACAGTCCTTTATGCCCGGATCGGCACCGTGGGACAGGAGGAAGGATACCAACCGAGTGTTTGAGGTGAGGACGCCGCGGCAGAGCGGGTAGCCCTTGTGCGAATTTGGCGAAGGGCGGTAAGTCGAGAAGAGGTATTCGAGCAGGGGGTGTATATGCACTCGCGGTGGGGTTGAATGAGCTGTTGAGTGTAACGTAGGATCTGGGCGGAAAAGACGACGAGGGAGTTCCGAGCATGAGAGTGCTGGCGCGGTGGGTTCTGGCGGGTGCGGTGATTTGTCCGCATCATCCTCCTCCTGCGGGTGATCCGGCTGTAGTGATGCCTCTGCGCCCTTCACAGGATGCCCAGCAACCTCGCCGCCGGGACCGGTATCTCCCTTCCGTCTCCGCAATCGCGTTTCTTGCCCTACAGGCTCGTGATACCCTCGGCGCTTGTCCCATATCCTCCGAATGTCCCTCGCTACCTGGACGTCGCACACTGGATGTCTCAGAGCGCGCACGAGCACCTCGTCCGCGCCGTACGCCGAGTACAGCGCCAGCAGGTACGTCGCGACATAGTGGGTCGAGGCAGAGTGGAGGGGACGATACAGAGATGGATGCGCTTGGGGGAGGAGGGGGTTCTGGGCGAGTAGATGGATCTGAAGGATGATCTGCCAGAGTCAGACGGGAGATCAACGCCTTGGGGTGAGTCGAGGAGCACACTCACCTCGGGCGGGAGGTCGGTGATAGTCGGCATGACACAATAATCCAAGATGAAGGGTCAACAGGTCCGATCGGATAGTGTGAGCGGCACACTACGCTGTCGTCTCTGGCCCTCTGCCGACCGGCCTGAGTGTGAGACCAAGCGAAAGTAGAGCGGTAATGAAGATGATGAAGTGAGAGTTGCAGACTTTACAAGATCTTGGCCCAGGGAACACCACACAAGAGGCCTAATTTGATCCCGCAATGCAGCACGTGACGTCGTGACGGGGCAGGAGCACCGCAGCGTCAATGACTGACTATGCAAATGGGATCACTCTATGATACTCTCTCTCTCTCTACTCACTTCCCCACTCACGTCTGGTTCTGCAGGATAGTCGTCTGTCAGCATCGGCAGAAAGCGGTCGCAGGGTTCCCGTCATGGCTTCTTCCACCGCCGGACCATCGCAGCCCGCCTCGGTAAGTCACAGATACCATTTAGCCCAAGTGTCTCTATTGACCCCACGCCCCGTGCAGCTATCGGCCCCTCAATGGCGACAGTTCACCTTCTTCGACTTGGAGGATGTCAAAGATGCCGATGACATCTCACAGTCTCCGCGAGCCCTCCGAGTGAGTCCTCAGCTCCAGTCAGGAGCTCTTCCACTTGACGGTCGGAGTTGATCCGGGCTTACGAACGGAAGGACCTCGCGCCTCCTATCGTCCTCACTCCGACATCCCCATCCTCACCTTTGGCTCCCTCCGTCATCCTCGCCTCGGGAAATAACATCGCACTCCTAGACAGGCAGTTCGCGACCGAACGATCGTTCCGCGCGTGGGAAGGCACAGGTCGGGCAACGGCTCTGGTCGAAG